TTTAAAAGTGTCAAACTAACAACCTCCAGTTTCATTTCACCACAAAAGCAGAATGTTATGTTTTTATGTTGAAAAATGGCAATGTGACATTATTTAATGCATATTTACATTATTGTACATGCATATCTAGTGTCTTCATTAACATTTACTGTTCCAAATAAATATTATTAATAAAATTACTCTCTAAATTATTGAAATTATTAAAAAAAATATGGTATGTCTGCTCCATCCCTTACTAAGGTAAAACATATTTATTAGGCTTTTACGCTCTTAATCCATTCACACATACATCACCTAGGCATCACAACTAAACATTTGTGACATGCATTACTTTTCCACAATAATATATGAATGGGAGAAGCATTGGGGGAAACATCAAAATAATCGGCTTCACAATGAGGGAATGCAAATGAACTGTGGATAGCAGGCAAAGACATCAAGTCCCAGGTCAAAGTTGAGAAGGGGGCCTATGGAGAACTGTCAGTCATGTGCTCCCATTATCCTCCAGTGTCTGCTGCGATTTAATGAGCAGGCAACACCCCCATGCCTCTGCAGCTGGCGCATACTCAGGCATAAACATAACGCGCCCCGTGCATCACACAGTGTTGTGTAAGCTTCAGAGTGATTGCATAAAATAAAGCTTTAGCATGCTATAGTACAAGTAAGATGAGAATGGATTAATGATTAAGTGGAGGTTTAAACAATGTTCCACTGAAGACTGAGTTCAAGTCCTACATTTGCCATCTATGTAGCCTCATGCTCCCTCCATTAAGACGAGTGTGTGCTTGAGTTGTGGGTCCATAGGCCTGATCCAACACAGGAGGCCTCAGTCGCTATGGAAACCTATTGGCATAGTGAGCTTTAACGGATTGTCTTGGCCTTGAGAGTGAATTGGTGAAGCACAGTTTGAATCTAATTGGCAATCAGAAATTATAGACCTTTTCCCATGTCAAGCATTTAAAACATAACCATATGGGTATAAGTGTGTATGGAGACGCAAGACACAACTGCTGAGATTAGGTATGTATAGAGAATTGTCTTGAATTTCACTTAAACATCTATAGGCCTACATGTTAGACTGGGCAATCCCAATCATTTCAATTGATTGTGTCTGTGTTAGGGTTCGTCCACCAGTGCAGTGATGCTATGGTGACACCTAGTGGACATTTAAAGTAGGCTTCCACAACAAGTTTCTAAAATGTGAATATTTGACCCGATCTGTTACAGCTACTGCCCCCTTTTGTCACAGAATAAATAAATAAATGAAATTTTAGATAAACAGACAAGCAGCAGGTTATATGGTACATTCTTTGTTAAAACATTAAAAATCTAAAATAAAACAAACTAACTAAATATATAAAAAATGAATAGATTGTATAGTGATTTGTAAGTTACCTTTGAGCCAACCCGCTGTGACCTTTCCTAAAACCAGCTCTTACCAAACTAGTGGCTGAATTAGTCCCTTCTAAATTAGCTATACTCCACCTGTTTGGCCTACAGCTTTTCTGGAATGTGAACAGACCCTTGCACCAAATGAAATGACGTCTACGTTTTAAGCAGCACCAAAAACATTCCTAATAAGAAATAAAAGAAAAAAACAGAAGAAGTGGATTTAGGTTTATTCAGAGAATGGTTGATTTCAAAAGTTAAACAATGCTGGGGAGAGAAAATAAAAGGGACTTGGGAGCAAAAACAAATCACATAGATTAATGGTAACACATTAATGGTAGTGTACCCTAGAATTATTCACCTCGGCTTGTTTTTATCTCCTTTGAACTAAATGTCAATTTACAAGGTGGGGAACTTGATAGCCTAATACAATGTTGTGCACTCATGTAAGCCTAAAGTCCATAAATCACAGATTTTTCAGTTCTATTGGGCTCGTCTTTCTCATTTCCAGGATCCAGATTTACCCTTGGCCCCTCGAGTGGTCTTGGATGCTTTGGAGCCCCTTTGGTGATCGCTTACTCTGTTGCGCAGAACGTAGATGTCGTACTTCTGCCGCTTGAGTTTCTCAGCCAGCTCAAACTTCTCAGCGTGCAGCTGATGGAGCCACTGCCAAAGGTCCTGGGCCTTCTCCACTAGTTTTTCCTGGTTAAGATGGTCAATATTTAGCGGCTTACGGCGCTCTAACAAGGCCTTCTTTTTCTCCTCTCGCGCGGTAAGCTTTTTGCCCTTCTTCTGGTCCACTTTTTGGAGATAGCCACCAAAAGACTTGTTGGTGAATATTTTTTTCTTCTTAGCTTCTTCCTCTGCTCGCAGCTTAGCAGCCTCTTCTTCACGCCGAGCTTTCTCCTCAGCCAGGCGCGTCTGGCGCTCGCGTTCCTGTTCTGCGCGGACTCGCTGTTGCTCCGCGCGATCAGCGCGTCTGCGCTCGATGCGGTTACGCAGCGCAACTAGTTCCTCTTCTTCCTTTTGCCGGTTAGAGAAGTGTAGTTCTATCAGTGTCTGGAGGTCATTGAAGTCCTTCTCTAGCCTCTTACGATGGAGATCATCAAAATCCACTTTCTCACCATCCGGGAGTTTTGGAGGAGCAATGTTTGGCACATATGTTGTTTTATGCCGTCGTCTGGAGTCTTCCTCGTGCTCTTCCTCCTCTTTTTTCTCAGGCTCATCATTCAGATCTTCTTCCTCCTCTTCTTCCTCTGCAGCCGCCTCCTCTGCCTCTTCTTCCTCTGCTTCTTCTTGTTCTCCCTCGTCCTCGTTCACTTCTTCCTCTTCCTCCTGTTCAAACTCCTCTACGATCTCCTCAGTGTCTGACATGATGGAAGCTCACAGACAGTAGCTGAAGACAGAGCAGTTGTGTTTGGGGCAATACAGGGACTCCAGGGGGCCCTGGCACTGCCTTTTAAAGTACTGGGTATCATGTGACCACTGTCTCAGGAGAAGGTCAAAAAGAGGGCGTATCTAAACAGATGGAGGGGTCTATTTTCTCCATCATCAAGTCTTCTTACAAACAGACCTTCCTAGACCCCTCTTGCTCCTCATTCCTTTGTATAGACATGCTGACAGACTATTTCAGATACACAACAGATGCGCTCAAACACTTGTTCTTTTCAGTCCAAGAATGAATCATACACTAGGGGATTACCCTAGAATATTGTTTCTGAACGTCTGAATGTAATGCAACTGACAACACTTGGTATTGATCTATAACCTATTGCATGTGCTTAGCCTAAATATTAAAATTGTTATCAAGTACAAGTATAAACTATAATAAGGGCAACAGTTCTTTTTCTAAAATATATAAATCTGGGGTTAAGAGCAAAGACATTACTAACCTTTGTTGAGTTTGTCTCTACATGAAATGTAATTACATTCTATATGTCATGGACCCTCAACTTTAAGTACAGGCTAGATTATGAGAGAGTATTACTCCCACTGTTGACATCTTATCTAATGGAAATATTTAGATGCTTTTATCAACCATTTCAATCATAAGGATTAAGTCAGAGAGCTGTGACAAAAGACTAATGCATTTAAGGGGATAACATGCGAGACATGGGCAGACAGGTGCCATGTAGTGTCTGAGAATCCCAATTATAGTCTTAGACTCTCTCTATGGATAAAGATAATGATGTGATCCAGCTAGCATGTATAGCAGTATAGTGTATATGTGAAAGATTAAGTGATCTATATGAGGAAAGCTTTTTTGTCTTCTTATGAAGGAAAGATAACTATAGCTAATTAGTCTTGGACAACTTCACAAATGAATGCCTATGATAATAATCTGTGTGAGTGGGGTCTACCGAAGCATGCTTTTACAGCACATTAAGACAGCAGGTGGTCACACCGTCATCAAGGCACACGGGGGAACAACTGTGTCCAACACCAAAGAGAAACAACAAATGACAAGGACTATAAATACTTCCTGTCTGTAGTGCACCAACAGTGGATATTACATGATGTAAAAATAAATAATAAAGCCTTTGGATAGTTGAATATGTCTACTCCCTGTTTAAATAAACATTTTGTTCAGATAGAAGGAATATTTTCACTCAATTAAAAAGAAAATGTGTACTCTAATAAAATTGAAGTAAAATTAGCATACCTGTTCATACCATATCATACCATACATCTGTGCATAGTAAAACAAAAAACAAAACAAAAAACAAAAAACAATTTGACAATATTTTTAGAAATGTGACAAATAAAGTTACAAATTAAAACAAGCCACTCAACATCCCTTTGGGAAAAATGTCGTTGATACTATATTGTAACTTTCTTAAACTACTGGACAATTGGATGTCTATGAAATATGAGATTAATAGGTAGTACTCTCATAAAACCTGCAGAAATAACTCCTTTTGTTCAATTTATTGTAAACAATTTAGTCACTGCCCTATTTTACCATAACCACTGGGACTGTGCGTATTTATCCTGATGTAGTTTCATTGTACATACACATACTTTAAGCCAATAATTTTTATTTAGGTCCTTATCCATTCATTCCTCAGAAGCTCTTGTTGGTCATGCTATTCACATAACAGCTGCTCAAGCACATGTTTATATTAGTGGGGTGTGGTGTCTAGTGTAGACCAAAGAGGACACCACAGCCAAAGGACACAGCGTCACAATGCTGCATTGTTTCTGGGTGTTGAATACCTGTTGACTTGAACACTGCTTCTAAGTGACTGCATGCTTCTACTATCCAGCTCATAACATAACTAAGTAGCTTTCAGATGTGTACAGCAGGTGGATGCCTCAAAACCCTCTTTATCATGGTCTGATGTCTCAATTCTCAATTCATAATGCCCTGATAATACCGCTTAACCACAAAAAGTTCACAGTTGTGATGGGAGAGCGCCCTCTTGTGTTTAACGTACGATATTAAATATGTTTTACTTCTGTAGCACTTGTAAGTCTAATAAATAATTGGACGCCTAGAAATGCCAGTTTTATGATACTGCTACTATAGAACAATACAATTAACCTACCATTATACATGCCTATGCTATATAAACGTCTTGACGCCATTCTGCTAATGTTACAGTGAATGGATGCTGTTTAGTTTATACAATGGCAATGTCTAAACTCCTACTGTAGCTTATGCTCAATGGCTAAAGGTGTCTTCCTGATACCCATCCTATCCTTGCCGAGCTGACAGGGCTTTCCCTGTCACGTGCAACTCATGTGCGCCACGTCTGAGCCCCGCCCGTCACTGACTCTTGTTATGAAAGCAGAGGGTGCCACGGTGGGTGTGTTCTTGCAACGGGGCTCCGCAGCTCAAGTGACGGTGGTACGCTGGGACAGACAGCTGGTAAACCGATTTTATTTCTTTTCTGTTTAAATGAATACATGCATTTACGTGAATGTTTACATGTTATAGTCCTTCTTACGGTCTGTGTTCTATGAGGGAGAGAGAATATTTTTCGCAGACAACTACTGCAACATATGTACAGCATGTACATTTCATGATTGCATTCAGTACACTGTGTTCTCCTTGATTGTATCACTGCCTGAGCCGTTGACGACAATAGTAACTACATTAGCACATAGTTCTAAACTTACTGTTAGTCAGATGTACAATTATTTTACACAAAGTTATAATACAGTGCTGAAGTGACTGGAAATGTGTTATTGTGGTGTTATAGAATAGGTCAGCCTGGATCTAATGTTTTGTTGGTTGCATGAAAAAAAAAAAAAAAAAAAAGCATATTTTTTATCTTCGCATTGCTCTCTTTCTGTATTTCAGATGTGTTACTGGCACAATGTTGCGTGTTACCACTGCCTCTTTGTGCACTTACTGCCAGAGGATAAAATTCTCTCTCAACCCTGTGGCACCCTTCTCTAAAGTAACCTCCACCAATAACAGACTGGAAAATCCTCACACGATTGAGGCTCTCTACAAACTCTCTGTGGACATTGGCAAGGTGCGCAAATTTAAAAGCTGGGTTTTATCAGAAACATCAGCATATGTCAGTGAAATTGCCGACATGCTGAGAGACATGGGTGCAGATTCTTCTTTAATTGCCTCAATTCTACAAAACCATCCCGAAGCAATTCTTTGCCGGCCACAGGACATCAAAGCCCAGAAAAACCTGTGGATGTCTGTGTGTGCAACTGACCGTGAGTTGATCAGTATCATTGAGAAGTTCCCGGCGGCCTTCTTCATGATGTCTCACCATGAAAACCAGCATGCTAACATTGTTTATCTCCAGAGTCTTGGCTTGTGTAAACGGATCATTGGTAAAGTGATGGCCAGTGCCCCTCAGAGCTTCAGTCAGCCTGTTCAGAGAAATAAGGAAGTGCTCCACACCTTAAGAGAAACCTACCTGGAACTGGGAGGAGATGAATGTAACCTTCGAGTCTGGCTGCAAAAGCTCCTTGGCCACAACCCTTTCATCCTGCTTTGGCCTGCTGCAGCCTGGAGGGACGGCCTATGCTTCCTTACAGACCAGGGCTTCACAAAAGAGGAGATACTCAGTCTTGTCTCCTGCCTCAGGGCCTCCATTGCAGAGCTGCAACCAGAGACTATGCACCAAACACTGTCCTTTTTCGAACAAGTGCTAGACTGTTCCAAAGAGGAGTTAAAACAAATCGTACTATGCTGTCCTGCCATATTGTCTTTCCCCCTGCCCAGTCTAGTGCAGCGGTTCTATGGGTTAATGGACATAGGACTGAACACAGAGCAGATTAAAGAATGTCCTGCTGTCCTGGAGCTGACCACTCAGATGGTGCTGTACCGAATGCAGAAGCTTGCCTCCTGTGGGTACGACACCCACAGTGGCAGCCTAGACATATTAGTGGGGTCAAAGAGAGACTTTGACATGATCTGTGGTATGCTGCAACAAAGACATCAGAAGACAATGGTAAACACCACTACTTCTCTACGATCTGTAGAGGAGTGACTAGTACATTCTTACAATTTTATAAAACAACAGCACCAACATTCTGTTGTAAGTGTATTGTATTTTCCATGGAATCATTAGACAAATACATTTTAAAGCATTAGCAAGTATTCCACAAATTGCCAAAGTCTATCCAAAATAGAATAATGTATTGGTATAATTTGATTGTTTTTGCACATGTAAAGCAGTAATGAAGCAGTTTTGCTAAATGTCATTAAATGTTAAGTTTTCGATCTTTGTTTAATTTATCACTTTCATGAATTCTGTGTACTGGACTTGTATCACACCAACTATTGTTTCATGTGAAAAAACAAAATACCAATATATAATATCAGTATCAATAATACTTATTGAAGCTTGTTTTAATGGAGTACATTTTGTATGGATGATACAGAAGAATTTTGTGTGACTCTGGATGGCTATTGACAAGACTGATTTAGTTAACTGTGAAGTCATAAGTATATATTAGTCAGTGTAGAGGGATTTAAACGATTTGACAAGCACTCAGATATAGACAACACTTCTGTTAGATACACTGGAGAACTCACAGGGAAACTGGAGTGGATATTCTGTCATCATGGCATCATGAGCTGCATTGGTAGAGAAACGTGCTTTTGTAAATAAAAGACTGTTCACAAGTGGTTCATTGATGGAAAACTTTGGGGAACATAAAACTCACCAATTGTCATATCAAAAATATAATAGGCCTATACTACACAAAAAGAAAACACATACAATATCCAAATATATACACGCTGTATGAGAGCCAAAAATTTGCAAATTCAATATATACACATTTTGATCTGAAAATGATCAACCAAAGAGCAAGCCTGGAGCAGCAGCCTCTTCAGTCCAGTTTGGATGAAATTCATATCAGAATATATAGTCTTTACTTTAGAAAGTAGAAAAGAGTTAACCGGTTTCCTCTTGAGGATATTTTCATGCAGCTGTGCCTTTTATAACGTTGGACCCAAAATGTAATGGACATCTGAAAAAATACAGAAATTATTACAATATGAGCAACATGTGCTCATATTGAGAAAACTTCACTGTTAAAAACATATACCATGCATTCACTATTGTGATGTAAATGGGTAAGTTACTAACCTAATGCCTCTGGACTTTTGAGGCTTTAGTGTTTCCAGTATCTTCACATGGTCTTTTTCCACTTATTTGAGAGCGGTGTTCAGGCCCTGGGAAAAGTACATATCATTTAATATTTGAGTTAACAGAATGGCATTGATATTGCCTTAAAGTGTAAGTTAGTTAAAAGTTTAAAACAAACATAAGCTTTACTTCATCTAAAATTAAGTGTCATAGTTTCATTAACTCACCCTTTTGAAGAGCAGGGGTAAGAGTATCGTTGGAGCTTTGATTGTAACACAACATACTGATCCCTGCACCTGCATAACCTTTAAGATGAATAGTGACAATGTAAAATAACAAAGTCTGGCGAGTTTAAAATGCCATATTTTCAGAGACTGAGTACTCACCCTGCTGAGTTGTAGATACGCTGGTTTGAGTGTCACTGTGTATGTACATCCTTGCCCCACTTTGCCAGTCCCCCTGGTGGTGAATTGGCATTTGATACCCTGAGAAAAGAGAATTCAATTGTTTTAGCACACAATAGTCAATACCTACACTACAGAGACCAAGCAAAAAAAGTACACTTACCATCTGAAACTGCAGAAACAGCAGGTGTGGCCTCACCAGCATAACACACATCCAGGGATGCCTCTGCATTCCTTTTTCCATTGTTGTTGCCATTTTCATTGGTGGTTCCATTACCATTGGTGTTGGAATTTGATGGAACAGTTGCTAACAAACCTATGTAGTCATAAATATTAATACAAATCTGCTAATGTTCCACTTTCAGATGTATAATATATACTGTAGATTGTTTAGGTAAGTAGAAATGCAGGTCTCGAGCACATTTATACATTGATTAAGTCACTGTTAGCAAAGCCTAAATGTGTCCTTACCGAGGCCTCTATAACAGGACAGCTGTTGATAGATCTGTTTCATTCGCTCAATATTGAGACGGCTGGCCTCAGCGTGATGAACCATGGGCTTGGGATAACTTACTCCAATGATACATTTGGCGGCCTTTTGAACAGCTTCAGGTGCATTCCAAGGATCATAAATATACTTGGCAGGAAATCCTCTGAGAATCGGCAGGTAGCGTCTGAATAAAAAAGAAAAAGATGAGATGAGTATAAAATAATTCTTCAGAATTTATTTATTTGAGTGAGTTAGAGGGTATTCATAATTCAAATCATATTTAAACTGTAATTAAATTTGTTAACACACCTTATGTAATCTCCATTTGGATCTGTGCGTCGACCAAACCCCACAGGACAGTAGCAGTGGAAGAACTGCTGAAAGAAGGAGCTACAGGAGAGCCACATCCAGCTGCCTGCATTCACACTCCAGTCAGCATCCAACAACAGCTCCTCAAATACCTACACAAAGAACACATTTTGACTACTTAGTCTTCATCAGGGCTGATTGAGTGAGCAACAGGTATGACCATTTATAGGGGTCATGACCGCAGATACATGATAATTTAAAAACAAAATATCCAAAAACACTATAAATCCATTATATCCAAGTATACTGACAACATACCATTCATAACACAACACATTAAAAAACTGTTCTGTATAAGCTGGAGTATATTCAACAATACATATATCCCTTAGGTTATACAGCACACTTCAAGAATTGTTTTCAGTCAACATTATCACAAGTAGAACGCATCAGAAATTTTGTAAGAAAGGTTATTAAAAATACCCGGATATTTGGTGGCCAATTGTCAAGAGGGGGCAACTTGTCTTATCTTGACAATTGGCAAGAAAGTAATATAGACAACATCTTGAGGCAATTATTAAGAAAGCATATGTGTAGAAGCTTAATAGTTCCAATACTTGTGGAAGCAGCTTTATAGTTCAAATAGTCTGTATGAGTGGCTTTGTAGTTCAAGAAGTTCAAATAGTTCAAATAGTTCATTTCATTCACAGGGACAGAGGGGGAGCTACAGTTACAGGAAGGGCAAAAAAATCCACCTTTTCGTTTAAACCAGGGTAGACCATGGCCCTCAAAGTATGGATCCAAAATATCTCTCTTTGGAAAAGAGGTTTTAAACTGTCTCCTCCTCAGGGGTCATGTATGACTTCAGTAGCATAGTGTACAATTGTAGCGTTTTTAACAATGTTTTGACTATACTAACCTTCATGCCCTCCTCCCAGCTGATCCAGAGGTCTCCTCTGGTCAGGAAGCAGGCCACTGCATGTCTGGCCAGGTGGTGGATCCACCCCTCCTGTCTGAGCTGGGTCATGATGGCATCAATCCAGGGGAATCCACTTCGGCCCTCTGCCCACTTGGCCAGAGCTTCTGGGTTGCGATCCCAGGGAATCTGAACACAAATGGGGTTGCTCTCCATTTTGTCGAAGCAGGGGTTGTTGGTGGCTGCTGTGTAAAAGAACTCTCGCCAAAGCAGCTGACCATAGAGTGAAAGAGGAGGGGAGCTATTCTTCTTTACCTAGTGAAAAGTATGTGAATGTTCACAATGAACTACTCATTTAAATTAACCCTTCTTAGTTTCTTCTGTACCTTTCTGTAAAGATCAGTGAGTTTAAAGTAGAAAAGTCGGCAGGAGAGGCATCCAAAACGTAGGTAGGGACTGAGGCCTGTTGGGCTGGCAAGAAGTGAGTTAGCGTTCATTCTGGGCCGTTCAAAGTTGGCGACCCATGCCTGTTAGCGAAGGAATTCCACATTACATCACATTTATATAATTTCTAAATGACAGTAACTTATGATTTTACTGACCTTTCTCTCCAAATGCCTCTCAAGTCGGGTGAGGGCCTCAGACTCACCTCCTGGCCACACAGCTGAAGACAAACCCTCAATATCGAAACCTGTAAATTATGTATTAACATTTACTAAATAGAATTTAGACTGAATGTGTTTCTTTTTTGTTAAAGGGGCCACAAAATATTTGCTCACCAAGTTCTTCCAGAGACGGAACACCAAACTTGTCATCATGGTCTTCAGAAAGTGGAGTAGTGCATTTGCTCATGACCTCAGCCGTTATGGTTTCTACAGGTACCTCAACTGCATCCATATGGCTGATGAGGGTCTGGAAACGTTTGTACGTAAGGGGGGACTGACCTCCATTTAGCTCTATAATCCTTCAGAGTAAATTAGAAAAAGATTACACAAAATACACAAATGCACAATACATATTTAAAACTAAAATGTACGCTTACTTGTCCAGGTCATAGAGAGTATGAGAGACGCACACTGTCACCTCCACTCCAGCCTCAGTAGCCAGCTTTTTAATAGCTGCATCTCGCTCTTTTCCAAATGGCTCAGAGTCATACTCATAGGACAGACGAGAAATCTTCCACTCCTAAAAGACAAAATCAAGCTATTATAGAGCTAATTTTGATATTGCACTGTGTTTTAGGGCTGCAAATAATGACTGTTAGAATCTATGCAATGTTTTAAACTATAACTTTTTAATTTAGATTTTTTTTTACATTTTTATATAATGCCTCTTCTTTTGTGATAACTAGGTCTTTTTGTATGTGTCAAACTCCATATCATCCAGATAATGATTATGATAAGCAAAATATGACTATGATTATTTTTTTAAAGGTTGACTAGTCACGATTAGTCAATTAATCAATGCAGCCCTATTGCACATTTATGCATATACTGATGCAACTTACTTTAAAAAGTCTGGGAAAGACATCAGTGGGCTGGCCTCTAATCACAAATAGACGAGAGTTTAATTTGCGAAGGCTTGAGTCCAAATCCTCAAGGCTCTGCAGTAAGAACCTGGAACAATATTATAATCAAGCATAAAGTGTCAGTTAAAAATGTTTTCCCATTAGTCTATACATAATGTTAATATTTTAGAGATAACAAAAAAATACACACAAAAATTCAAATTATGTAAGCAAAAGCAGCTTGAGATAGTGTTGTAATTTAAGATCTAAGAAATTAACGTATCAAATACAATAGGCCTATATTTTACAGAATATTGTTTCAATTTAAACATAAAAGTGGGTGCAGTTATGCATTTGGTTCTAAAAGCTAAAGACGCTAATCCTTGTAAAACATGAGTCAATCTTTACACGTGAACTGGACGTCATAATCAGAACACTGAGGTAATGCTGGGCATGGCTGTGGAAAAATAAATGTCAAGGCCTGCTTGTTTGTTCAACATCTCAAACAGCTTTTATGTGATCTGATCATCGACCCTACCCAAGCCTTAAATAAAAAGACTAAATCTGGCCTACACATAACCCATCCCAAGCATTTAATTTAGGGAACTCAAAAGATTCAAATTAAGTGGCAGTAATGCGGTGCTTCCTGTTTGATTGCTATAGAAACCAAAGTTTGTAGGCGGATGCTTCCTGTACAGTTTTACTGTTACATTTACTTACACCTTTGCTAGATCCAAGATAGAGCTAGTGTTGTGAGAACAGTTGATGAATAAACCATTACCAAACAATAAGTAAAAATACAACTTAAATCAAGACAAAGAATTCAAAAGCCACAACAAGATTTAGCCCACCATGCAACCTATAATGGCGCTAGTAATTGTGTTGTGTATGAACTTTTTCTTCCTGACTTTTATCTCTTGAAATGAGCACTCCTACGTCCCCAAGCTCTGTACAAACAGGGAAACTGTTCATTAGATTTTCATAATGGCCATTTAGTAGAAGGCCACCCAGTCAAAACCTTTGATGTCATTCTTTATTGTTTGTTTAGCACCATCACCACTCACAAAGCACAGACGGTAAAATAACAATCTACTGCACCGCTGGTTTCACTATGGTTATTTCACTGAGTGGAGATTGTTTAGGTGTGTAGCAGATTGCAGAGGAAAAGTAGGTCAGAACTGAGTGGAGGGTTTTCTACTAACACACTGACCCAGATGCTGCACACAGAAAGATGTGGGGGGCTGGGAAAGTTATAGGGATTATGTCTGTTTTGTAACTCATTTTGCCCATTGAAATACACTTGCCGCACAAGGGCATTGAGCCTGTCCGTGCCTCTCAATGTATTTATTAATACAGCTTTTATAGTAAAAAATATTTAGTCTATGTCAGTACTTATACAATAGTCTTCTAATAAGTCAATTCAAGCATGTAATAAGAGTGTAATATTGTAAGACTGTAATAACAAGAGTATTATAGACTGTTACATAACCATCCATCATAACATGCCTTTTGAATCCTTTCCCAGCTACGGCATGTTGTGCCATTATTTAGTTCTCATTATTTATCTAAAACACATACATTATAAAAATAAAAAAATAAATAAATACTGAGAAAAAAAATCTCACACAGCTGTGCAGACCTGACCTCTATTATGGGGTTATCAGTCCAGATTCAACAACGGTAGACTGCTCAACAACGCACTAACTGTTGCTGTCTTATCTCATATGTAGGACATAACAGACCTCATCAGGCACCACAGGGAGTTTTTTGTAATTTTACATGGTTTGGTCAAACTTGCTGATAAATAAATAATAATGAAAGTATTATATTCAAAAAGATCAATCATGTAATACGTTTTATAGACAAAGGAGGAACATATGCTATAATATGCTGATTAAGGTGTCATGATAATATTTGTTAATGGCTGACTAAAAACAGAAAAATATAAATTATTCCCAAAACAGGACGGGCATGACTCTGTAAATTGGGTTGCTTATGCTTTCACTTTTGCATTATGTTCTCTGCCCTTAAAATAATGAAACTTAGATCCATTCACCAGGTCAAGATTAATTTGACTAATTGGATTCGTTATAAAATTGAGAAAAAGAAAGAAAAAAGAAAACTGAATTGTTGCCTACATGCTTTCAAATCCAAATTTGGATTAACATCATAATACATGCTCGTGTATATTAGAGTCTGCTCACCTCCACCTGTTGATCCCCACGTTAGAAGAGCCAGCGAACCAGGGGTCGAGGATGTAGACGCAGCGGACAGTGTCCGCTCCCAACAGAGAATCCTTGAGCGAAGGATTGTCGTGGAGCCGCAATCCCTTCCTGAACCAATGGATCGTATTAATGACCATTACTTAGTCGGACAAATCCGTTTCTTTAAGAATTATGTCTGAAGTCTGTTTTGGTCTCTCCGTTTTTTGTTTTGTTTTTTTATTTTTTCTTTCTGGCTTGAGGATGGCTTGCAGGCGATATTCAGCTCAAGGCAACTTGAAGATCTGGAGCTTAAAAAAACCCCAAACAAACAACAAAAAGAAAAACAAAAAAACACCACTATCGTCTAAGCACCCAAACTGACTGTAATTAACCTTGTTCTAACAGTATCTTTTCCATAATGTCGAAGAATTTTAAAGCCTTTGGCAAGGGAAGCATTTGGGTCTGAGACAGCGCGGGATCCACGGTGGTGCGGCTGCAGTTGCAAACACGGCGGGCTTTAGGACCGCTTACTCGAAAAAGCAATAGGCCATCTTGTTGTATAACTTGTTTATCTGAATAGTAAAAATGCATCTATCAAGATACATACGATAAACAGTATGTTGGTCGTATACTCGATGATAGGCCTTGAGAGATCTGTCAGATCTTTTGTAAAGGTCGCTTCACTCACTCAGACCTACGGTAGCAAGATTTGCCGACGCACACACCGGGGATAGGGTGTTATGTAAATTAAAAAAAATGTCACAGAAAAGCTGCCAAGTATGCTGTCTATTGATCAGTTCAAATACTTAGCTTCATAAACGTCTTTCTTTTTCTTGCCTCCACGTGCAGATTGCGTTAAAGTTATGTTAAATTGAAAATATCCTCCAGCCTCCAGGAATAGCCTCACCGTATCTACCATAGAACATGGTACCTACGCCAGAGTCCGCCTTTGGCGCAGACGCACGCAGCTTCCACTCTTCCGATTGGACGGAATAGTTGAGCGTTAGTCTAGCGTGGTCACGTTTTTGTGGCGTGCTTTGCGCTCAGTTTATCTCATACATGGATCTGTGTCTCATACCTTAAGTACTAAGTAGCCACTTTTACTCCCGAAATCAAATTCCCTGTATGTAAGTAGGCCTATATATTAGACGGTATAGACCTAACAAGTTCAGTGGGCCAATTAATGGCTTTGTCTGTTGCAGAGGGTTTATGGCTATACCTCCTAACTGAAATCAGCCCACGTGAAACTATAAAATAAATCTTTCTTTCTGAGGAAGAAAGGGTGGACTATAGCGTAGATGTCTCGTTCTCAACAAAAGCTATTAGCTATTTGACACAAGGTGGTGCTCTAACCATGTGCAAGACCTCATGTACAGGAATTCATAGGTTACTTAAAAAAAAAAAAAAAAAAAAAGGCTACATTTTGCCTCAAAGATCATCCAGTTAACAGGAAAGCTAGATTAGATGCTACATCATTCTAAATGAGAGAATAGAAATATCTTAAGTTACAGGGCAACAGAAAAGGATCAGCATTCCAACAATATTGACCATCTAAATCTAAAAATTGCCTCAAAAATGTATCATCAACATGCAATGAAAGAATCGTGAACTTTTTTTTTTTTTTTCTCAGTTACTAGGCAACAAGTTTCATCAAGAGAGATTTCAGGACCGTAGAGTTAATGCTGAGGCTCTGACAGCTGCCCACCATTACACTTTACCTGAGTGAGCCAAGAGTTAGCAGAAACACGCTATTAGTGATGAAGTGATGAAGTAAAGATTGTGTGGGATTCACATCGTACTAAGGCGTGCACAACTTATCAAAAAATAAATAAATAAATAAATAAAACATTTTTTGGTACATTTTTGCATTACTTATTTCCTCACTGTCCCAAATTCTCACACAATTATGCCCACCAAACACTTGACTTGGTCTGCCCTGTTCGTGGTCCATAAAATTACAGTCTGAAAATATGTGTATGTATAACAAATGATACATACATGTTAAATATAGTATATGCCTTATTTTCAGCATTGTGAATTGTGCAATATCATGCAGTAAATTAAATGCCTCTCTCACACACTCCCGTAAACAGCCAGGTCCAGGAGTGTCGCGGAGAAACCTCATAAGATCGGACTCCTTTCACAAACCGGTTGTATTGTAATCTGTACATCTCTCACTGTGAGCCTTAATTAATTTCTTGATTCAATTTTTCATGTCAATTAACACTGTCAAATTCGAAACCTAAAACCCAATAAAACATAACACAGAGCACAACCTGTTACTGAATAGTCCTACAGCAGGTAGCCAACACTAAACTGAAGCCTGTTGTCCGTGTCAGTCATGGTTGTGGGACATGCGGATTGGTTTGTATAAAGGCACCTCAAGTCCCTCCTCCCAGTCAGAGTGAGCCATGCTGAGCTTGTTGCAGTAAGCGCTGAGATTTGTGCGTGTACAGGTTACTCGTGAAAACTTGTGGATGAACGAAGAGAAAATTGATTTCATTCATCATTGATTAGCCAAAGAATCTCGTTTTTGCGTTTTTTGTTTTATTTGGGAAACAATAGCAGCTTGTCGTGAGCGCAGAGAAAGGACAATTAGACGAGTTTGTGACTTTGAACGGTGTTCCCCTGCATACCTAACAGTATGCGGTGCAGTCATGGCAGGCAAGGGTAAAACAGTCGTGAGGACGCTGGAGGATCTAACTCTGGATTCTGGTTATGGTGGAGCTGCGGACTCGGTCAGGTCTTCCAGCGTGTCGCTGTGCTGCTCCGACACGCATCAGTCCTTGCATGGGGGCAACTGCTGGCATCTGACAGAATCTATGCACAGCAGACACAACAGTTTGGACACGGTCAACACAGTCCTGGCGGAGGACACGGAGATACTGGAGGGCTCGGGCCAGAGTGCCAAGCTGCCCGAGCTGGAGGACGTGCCGTGGAGCCTGGGTGAGGTGGAGGGTGCGCTGGGGAAGGATGAGACTCTGATGGCTGGGAGCTTACCACCTGAGGTCCTAGCTCGACTTTCAGCTCTCATCAGCCGCGCACTCGTGAGGGTGGCCCGTGAAGCACAACGCTTGAGCTTGCGCTATGCCAAGTGCACCAAGCATGAGATCCAGAGTGCCATTAAGATGGTTCTATCCTGGACAATTTCTGTAAACTGTATCACAGCAGCTGTGAGCGCACTGTCACTCTACAACATGACCACCGGCGACAAGTTCAGCCGAGGCAAGTCCGCGCGCTGCGGGCTCGTCTTCTCCGTCGGGAAGTTCTTCAGGTGGATGGTGGATAGTCGCGTGGCTCTAAGGATCCACGAGCATGCAGCTATTTACCTCGCTGCATGCATGGAGAGTCTATTCCGAGACGTGTTCAGCCGTGTACTGCGCAGCGCGCTGTTGGAGAGAGACAACGGCATCCCCAAGTTTTCACTCGAGTCACTGGAGCAAGCCATCAACAGTGACTCTGAGATCTGGGGTCTTCTGCAGCCCTATCAGCACCTAATCTGCGGCAAGAACTCCAGTGGTGAGTGAAGCCCCAAATAAAGTATTACGCATGCACGCCTATGTGATAAACCCCAGTTCCACACTGACACTATTATTTTAAAATTTTGTTAAACGATAAAACACCGAGCAGCACATGCCACAGTGTAGTTTAGCCTGGAAGAAATATCGAGAGCTAACAATAATGTGCGTCCTCTGACGCATCTGGGTGCATGGAGGATAGTGTATTTACAGCCGTAATGACTAATCTTAAGCACTAACAGTTTAAAATGTGTAGGCCCTGGTGTAAAGCGCATGCCTCAGTGTATTGCATAGGCATGGGTCTATATATTTTATTGATAAAGTTCCCTGACAGATTATTATCTCAAATTGGTACAACGGCAGCATTTTTATATTTTGAACACATCCATCCTCCTAGAAAATGAGAGGAACATGATGAAAAATTGTCTAAATGATCTTTGACAGGCTCCTCTGGTCTTGGTGTTATGATGCATCTACAGCATACATTAACAGGGATACCTAATGGAAAATCAATGTAGGTTTGATTGTTCACACATTGCAATGGCAGATTTGCTGTAAAAGCATTTTAAACCTTCATTCATTTTTCAGCAATCAATATGTAACAATTCAAAACAACAATTTCAGCAATTTCAATCAATGTGCATTGTTCCTTGTGCTCTCCCACTAGATGCACTTACAAACTATTCTGCTATTCTAGCAGATTCTGCTGTTTCTCCTACCTTCAGACAACATTTTCCGGTTGCCCATATAGAGCAGAAAGCAAACTAATCTTAAAATAAAATGAGTGCAAGTTGCAACCTATGGTAAGAGCCTAGGTCTGCATGTCTAAATATAAGGAGATGTTGAATAAAACTATATGTATCATTTCTTAAGATTCACATGCTACATTCTTGCTAGATTTTCTGTGGTCAAGTGGTCATGCAATGTTTTATTGTTTTCTTGTGTGCTGTGTTGTTTGCATATTTGCTTCTCCTTGTATTCAACACAATGCACAAACAGAAAGTTTTGTTATCCATTGTGTGAACATTTCCCTTATTAAGATGAACTCACAGATGCAGCGACAGATTGCTATCATTCTGGTTTAAAGACCGCAAAGACACGAGTGATAGATTTTTATGTCTTGGTAATTTCATGTTCCCACTCCTTCCCATCCTGCCATATCTTGTGGGTAGAAATCAGTGTTGGCCAAGTTAGTGTGTTTTCTGGCTTAACTGGTGAAGTATTAACAAATATTATCTCTTTATCATGGTATCATGGTAAAAATTAGGAATATACTGTTGTGAAGTAAAGATCTGAAATTAAAGTAGATATTTGTTCACAAGGATAATAATCTCAAAAAAGAAAATATTTATTTATTTATTTATTTATTGTACTACGACAGCATTTGTGACAGATGTGGTGAAGTTTGTGATTGTGCAGAGATGATCTGCTCTCTGGTTCTTTGACTTTCCTGTTATTATTGTTGTTTTGATTATTAGGTCAGGGCAGTACATCATAACGAACATGTAGGATTGTAACCATAGCCATTTGATACTAGATGATATGGGAATTGAAGTATGGGCCAAGCGAAGTCTGAACTGCCAAACTGGGTTAGTTGATGAGCGCTTTAACCGCAGAGCCACAGTCACCTAAATGGATTAAATGATAAATACACAAAGGGTGGGATCGAAATGCATGGAAATGAGATGACTGACAAGACGGACTGGGTGCAAATAGTTTAGGGATAGAGATGTCGGTGAGGTGGGGTCCTGCTCCTGAGAAGACACGTTTTCAAATGAATTAAATAACTCAAGATTCAAACATATATACAAATAGGTTATGGTCTTCAATTCATAGATCTAATTCTGTACTGACCACCAAATTGAATAATCTAAAAATGATCAGATCTATAAATCTAATAATAACAATCTGAGCCATGAGCCTAATAAAGAAATGTCAAAACTGCATGTGGTCAGGTCTTGGGTTATTAATGCAGATTTAGATTATAAAGTTCAAAAAACATATATATCACCTGGGAGAAAAGGGCCAAAATATTCATATCAAAAATAATTTTATGTCAACAGCAAGTTGGTCCAATGTAGAGCGAGCATACAGCCTCACTGACATGCAGGCAGAGTAGGAGGAGAGCGTGGGTTTGAGCATCAGTTAGTTGAGGTGCTACAGTGGTATTGGTACAGATCCCTCAGAGATATAATTACTAGCTTCTTCTCATTAACACTTGAGCGTATTTGCCATTCATTATCATTAAAACCTAACCACAGGAAGCACCAGGGAGCTGTACTGAACAAAGAGAGTAATTCTTCCATTCATATTTAATGCCTTACACTATGCTGCTCCATGACAGCATGTTGTGATCAAGATTCATTGGCCCTAAGAGCCGTGAGTGCTGTTCTCATGATAGTCCTGCATGAAAAATATAGTCAACACTGCAGGCCAGCTTACTTCACAAGTCTCTGTATAGACTGAAACGATTCTATTATAGATTAAGATATCAAGTACATTGTGCAGAAGTAATTCAGGTAGCACAATGAAAAAGATAAATGCTGACCTTATTATCTGTTAGTGAGTGGATATTTATCACATTGTAGGGGACTACGCAGTATGTCACGGGAGACCTGGCTTCCTTATGGGGACAAAAAATCAGGTCCCCATGATGTACATTTTTTTTATTATTAGATGTTATTATTGGGTTAAGGTTATAGGGTTTAGGTACAAGATTCATGATTAATGTTAAGATCAGTCTCAGATCAGAAATTAATTATAGTCAATGTAATGTCTCCAGAAAGCATGGAAACCTAAATTGTTTACTTCTGGATCTAATTTGAAAAGCTTCAGATATGAAGATTTACATTTTAATTGTTTGGGTACAAAACAATTTTGCCATTCAAGTATTTTGTTGAAGTTTTTTTGTTTTTACATTGATTAGTTTTGGCTAGTTGAGGGTAGTTCTTCATTGTACTAATAAAGAATGTATATAATTTAACTAAAAGTTCCAATATTTTTTATATATATTTTATTTTACTTCATAGGGGGTTGTATAAGTTAAGATGAAGCAGGACAGATATTTTTCTCTGTTCCACCAGGAGCATGAGAGTTTTTATAAAAATATAACAGGCATCAACTTCCCTCTCGCCTCATTATCCTCCCCTGCTTTATTTTATATGCTGACAACACACTGCTGGAGTGTAATTTGTTTATCTGAGCAAAATGCACACCACTAAGCAAATCACATATAGTGCAGAGTGGTGTTGGTACTGGGGATACTCTCGGTAACCTATATTTAATGTTATCACAAAAACATCACATAATCTTGTTTTTAAACTTCTGTATTAGTCTTGTATAGTGCTTTTATGCACCCTCAAAGTTGCTTTACAATGTACCCCATTCCTACCAGACAATCACACTGATGTTCACGGACAAACATTATGTGTTTGGGCAGGGCACAACAAGCTTACGCTGTGGTTGGTGGGCAAATACTTAAAGCACTGTATCACCGTCTGTTCATTGTTTGAAATGTGATTATTTATTGGTAAATTGTGATTTGTAATCACTCCTACCCTGTCCTGTGTTCTGTCTACTTTCATTTTGCTATAGTTTGAGAGACTGTTTTTGTCATCCTGTAGCTGGTTGTGATCTCTTTAGTTGCAAGTCGATGTCATTTGTACCCTCTGAAAGTGGTGGGAGCATCCTAAACAAACATGTAGTCTTGATTCTTGAGCCTGCGTCTTACTTTGACCTTTACTCCAGCTTGTTTGTGTCTTTGTGACTGCTCCTGTTGGTGGCACTTGTAATGAACTCATGCCTTCCAGCGGCTTCCATAAGATTACACTGTACAACATGATTACTCAGGTCCTGTTCATCTGCCCAGAGTCTGGTAATCTGAAAACCACGAAAAATGCTTCACTTTGACCCATGTTTGAAAGGTCAGTTTTTGACAATCAGCATTTTGTCTGATTTTATTGTTTGAATTTGTGTAATTTCCCTTTTTGTATTTTAAAGGAAATAATTGCTTTTTTCCCCCACAAATTCAGTGATACATGACACTAGTTGCAGTCATAGCAGCCTCATCCATTGCCAGTGTTTTCATATGATTTTATTTGGACAGTAGTAATTTCTGTCTGGGATTTCTGTCAACCTAATTGATATTTTAACACATTTTAGGGAGTCAAAAAGCAGATATTACAAATAATTATAGAGGGTTTTCTGTTTGTTTTTTTGTGTGTCAGATGCACTCATGGGAACAGGTTAGGAATAGTAAATTAATTTAAGTTGTTCAGTCAGGACTGAATACTAACATAAAGACTGTTTTTTTCAATTTCTTGCCTCTTGATCAGGGCCACCCCAGGAGAGATGTCTAGTAAATAATATTAATGCCAGAATACCAGATTTATACACCCTATAACTTATTTTCCAAATTGATATTTATTGCAGTATTGGCATATAACTTAAACTTAACCAGCAGGAAACAACTGTTCAGAAATTAAAGGCATAGGGTATTTTTGTGTTTGGCTCAGGAAAGTCACTCACACTGAGAAGTCAGGTTTACCATTGAATTGAATAAATAGTCTTGCTGTTCTCAGGTGCCTATGTGAAATTAGGATGGTTACTCTGGGAGGAACCATCTGGTGCTGCGACTCAAATAGGGCAATAGGTGACTGGGTTGTCCTCCTCTTTTAGATGCACTGTTTCTTTTTCTTTACCTCCAACTGTGCTCTCTTAAAGACACACTGTTTCTGGTGAGGGTTTACCATCTGCTTTTCTCCATGGAGATGTAATTGATTTGTCTAAGTATGAAATTAAACATAGAACATAAAGAATCTCTATTGTATGTCCACTCTTCCTGGTAGTCTCTATGGAGCTATGCGATTTTAATGCAAAACTGTGGAATATTTAAGGAAAATCAATAACATCTTCAAGCAGGTGGACGAACCTCTACCTGAAAAGTTACATAGTGCACCTTTTGACATGCAGACCAAGAGCACAAATAAGGCATATATAGATATAGCATT